TTTGTATAATAAGAAGAATTGGTGTCGATGATCATACAAAGGTTCTTGATCTAACTTCGAGATTCATCAAAGGAATAGGTTGGGTTGTCGATCAATGCGCGCGCAACATTAGACAAGGATAAAGATGGCTCTCTCATTTTCTCTCTCTTTCTATCAGCTCACAGTTCCCATCAAAGGCGCCGCCAGGTCTCTCCTACTCTATGTATATAACTACTGCAGTTGCACCTTCTGCACTTGGAATGAAACAGATGTGCGATAAAGTGCACTGGACAGAAAGAGAGAAGAGAGAGAGAGAGGAGAGGTGCAAATGTCCCGGCTGGCAGCTGCGAAGTCAACTGTCAAACCCCGCAGGTCAGCCGTTTCTCGTCAACCGCTGCTTTTTCGCGAGGCGAAGGATGGAGAAGAATTCGTTCACGTCGTGCTCGAACTACTTCGCCCGACTGCGGCGCAAGACGCGCGAGATCGACGGTGGCGTCGAGAGACTCTCCGAGACCTGGAGGACTCCGCATCTTCTCATGGGCGGCTACGAGGAACGCACCGCCGAGACGAACGCCTGCTTGGAGGAGATGTGGGAGTCCATCCGGAGTACCGGCGTGAGTATTCATCCCGGAGATCTCTAATGTTCTCTAACGTTGCGAGGATCCGGTAGCTTCTTTATGCGAAATAAAAATCATAAAGGATTACCTGCAATCTTTATTTCGCCTGAGAAGGTGATACCTATGCTTTAACAACTTGTCGTTTATCTAACAGTCATGTTTCTGTTTGCCATGAAACGTTAATGTTGCGTTGCTGCATCGTAGTGCATTATTGCGTATTCACACTAGCATATAAAATAAAATATCATTATATAATTAATAGTGTAGTTTCCCTCACTTTTTAGAATTTTTTCGTAATCCTTACAGAAATTTAATACTGAAAGTATCAAATAATTACTTATTTTGAGTATTAAAAGCACTGCCTGTCAGCATTTTTAATAATTCAATCAAAATAATTGTTTGGCAGTTCCAGTATTAAATATCTGTAAGGTTTACTCTGAAGAAGTTCTAAAGTGAGCATTTTTTTAACCGTGTGGGAGTGTACAATTAATCGCGTGGCAGGACGCGATAGAAAAACTTCAGTCGGAAGTGGAACCATCCTTGGACAAGACAGATCAGTTGCTGGAGGAGTCGCAGGCGCTGTACGAAAGTTTGAAGGAGCAGTCCAATGAATTAGACATCGTCCTAAAGGAATATGGCTATCATTATGAAGAGAGTATTGACAGACAGGAAAATCATTCAAGGTACCGTGTCATCGCCTTGTGCCTCATGCACTGAATAAGTTTTAGATCCTTGAAAGAAACTGTGTCCACATTTTTGTTACTTTACAAAATAATACATACTACAGATACACTGACTGAGATGATTTTCTCTCATTTTTTTTTCTTTCAGAAACGGTAGTCAAAACTGTACAAGTGATAGCATTTTAAATAATGAAGAGATGGAAGTTGTCGAGTTCACGCCGAACTTGACGTGGAAATCCAGTAGAACTAAATTCAGAGAGTCTGACACTTCCAACGCAAGCCAGAGGAATATGAGTGGGATTAAGGGTATCGCTACGCCCGTAATTAAAAGAGTAGACTCAGTTTTACGATCGGAGATTAATGCAAATGGATTAGGCGACGCGTCTGGCGCAGGAATCAGAATTACGAAATTATTACAAAAGTATTGAAGAGATATTCAAGAGATAATTTTAATTCTGTACATGTGTGAAAGCTTTCTGCCTTCCTATTTCTTGGTAACATAGAAAAGATATGCCGTCTAGTAAGTTGCATCGATAAATGATAAAAGTACTGATAGATTGTTAATTATATTAATTTATATGTATAATTCAACTCTTTAATTCAATTTACTTCTTAAAATATGAATATATATGTTTACGTATTGTTAGTATATAAACTATATAAAGTGCGTTACATTATTGAGGTTATACACTTGCAATTTCACGGAGATATAACAAACTAATTGTTCGAACTGAAAACGAAGCAGATTTTTATGCGTATTTTTATAATAAAGTATTTTTGTAATCGAAAAGTTTTATAATAAAACATGGGAAAAAATTAAATCCTCTTTGCTGTGCCGTGAAGAATTCCACATGGTCCATGGAAGTAATCTAACCTAATCTAATCCAACCGTTCCAGCCTAACCTTAAAAGTGTGGAACTATCGTCGAATTGTCAAGATTCACGTATTGTAGTTCTCGTTGTTGTTCGACAGTATAAATTATTAAATTGTTGATTATCAATTCGAGTTGGAGCAATAGATAACAGATTTTACAATGAGTGAGTTAAATCTCAAATATTACTGTAATGTTTCTGAATATTTTCTAATGTATACATTTGTAAACATTTATACACACGTGTTTATAGGAAAGAATCAATTTTGCCAGCACAAAGATGTTTTCGAAAGAATGAATTATTTATATCAGGTATGGATATAATTTTAAAATTTATTATCCTTCAACAGCCATTTTTACTTGCCTATTATGAATAGTTTTTTATCTAATAAAAAGAGAAACGTGACGCTATTGTCATCTAACATTTCATCGCAGGCTAGTCATCTGATGGCGTTAAAGAATCGCATTATGGCATCCTACTTCGGTAACAATATGTTGGCTTGTGCCAGGAAAGCGGTAGTACGCATGTAAGTTTCTCTACGATTCATCAGCCTTCTGTGTAGTACCAACAAAAGGGATTTGCTTGTGAGAGTTGCGTTAACGATTTGTTATCCCAGGGAACCGAATTTGAAGAGAACTATATGCAAATGTTGTCAAAGTCCACTCACACCCGGGGAGACGGCCAGAGTTAGATTAGTGTCGAAGCCTGTAAAGAGCGTCAAGTGGACGTGTTTAACTTGCATGAACTCCAAGAGGTATCCTATGAAGAAGGGATACAAATTGTGGCTCGATCAGTCGGAATCAACGGTCCAGATGTTAGATTTTACACCAAAATCAAAGAACGGAAACTTCGAGAAATCCGGCTCCGAGGGCAATTCTGTGAAAGTGAAGGAGTGAACTGAAGATCATCCTAGAGATCCTGCAAATCGATCCAGTTTGAAAAACTCCAATCAAAATGGAAGCAGAGGAAGCGAAACGATCTCGAGTCCACTTTTCATCAAGGAGCGCTCCAGTCCAAGGTATCTGGTGTACGAATATTTTTTATTAATGACTTACATAAAATATGTTACAATATTACAATAAATTTGTAATTAATAAAACAGATATTTTTGCTAACTGGAATATTCATAACCATCTAGTAATATCATGATACCGATAATAGTTTTACATTAAATATTCTTAGAAATAACTCGATCGTAAGTTAAGTTACTGCTTGTTTGTCGAGTAGTTGCGATACGTTTTATTCTTTTTTTTTTTTTTACGGAAAGTGGCATCCGCAGGGAATTCCCGAAGGTCACGATATCTGTGTTACGTGTGTTCTCAGCCGAGGACGGTTTGTGGAGTCGCTATTAGTAGCGTAAAGCCGACATGGTTTTCTTTTTCTTTCTTCGAAAGGCAAGATCATTTCGCCGCAATGACACTGGAATTCGCTGCGAGCGTCATTACTTCTAACTATGATATGACTATGTCCGCCCACCGCCAGCGACTCGTGCAAAATCATTTTATACGTGTTAAATCATCGCAACTCGCACTCACGGGCGCAACCAAATCACAGTTCAATCGGAAAGAAGAGAAAAAATATTCAGTCGTTTTAAAACGTATACTATAATACCTTAAATAAATACGCTAGAACGAAACTAACGATATACTAACTTAGAAATTATATATCGCGCGTATTGTGATCATGATTGTTAAACGTCTCGCTGTGCGTTGCAACAACAGTGGCGCAATTATTTCACCCGGGTACAACAATCGCATTGCTTAGACGCCGGAAAACGTGGCAGTGATCGTTGTAAAAAACGTCCGTACGGACGTTGCGTTCGCGTCTCGAACGCAGGCGTACATATATATCCTCGGAAAACGCATAAATACTAAACTAACGGGGAAGAGTATAATACTTAAAAAAAAAAAAACTGGGGGCTGGACGGAATCTACACATTCACTTATATACATATATCTGTCGTGCCAAGCTTCGGTCGTGTCGAGTTATCTCACAGTGTCTATTTTTATCTAGCTTATATTCTTCACCCTCTTTCTTTCCTTTTGCCTCCCTTTTTTTTTTATTCTCCTAAAAGGTAGCCCTAAACGATAAGGTCAGACGGGACCCTAGGTTGGCAACGCACACATATATACATGCACACACCAGCTACAGGGATTAATTACTCCAGTAATATTGACTGTGTCGTTCGTCGTCACTCTTCATCATGAGTCCTTTCGCAAGCTCTCGCGGAAGAGTCTTGAACTGAAAATGGCATAAGTCACACGTAAGTGTGTGTGAGAGAGAGAGAGAGAGGGCGGATCTCGCGAATGTCGTGTCTCGTGGTCTTTTTTTCTTGCGTCGTGTCTCGGTGTCGCTCTTCTCGTACACGCGTCTACTCGCAGGACAAACCCGACCAATATTTAACTCGGTTATTGTCAAAGAGGTGTGTGCATGCGAGTCGCCCGAAGTACGCTCCGAAGAGGCGCGTGCAATGAAAAAGAGCCGCGGACAAAGAGGTACAACGTACGGCGACGGAGCTTATTTAGAGATAGAAAGGGTGTGGAAGAGGAGGACGTGGGCTGAGCGCGCCCGCGTTATCAGAGCTGAATTTATATTAGCCCCGAAACGAACTGGGGCTGGCCGTCACGGTCGACCGTCAGTTGCGGCATCACGTTTGGGGAAGGCTGGAATGTTGATCCTTGAAAACCCATTGCCGATTCGTATAACTGAAACATAAAAATGAAAAAAATTATTGCATATTTAGGAATTACGCTTTGCCGCTCGGAGACCAGATCGCACTGACGTCCACTATGCACGATTAACGACGACAATCTTTTTGGTTTCTTAAAGTAAAAAAAAACAGAGATAAATCAGATATTCTATATATCTATATATCTATAATATATAACATGTCCTTTTCATTGCTTGCAAGTCGAGTAACTGACATTGATTGTCGTAACTTCGAGAACGCTCATTACAGCTAAAGCTATGATCTCAGAGAGAGAGAACTATTAATCAGAGAGTTAAGTCTGCTAGTGTAACGAGGACCTCGCGGTCTATATATAATGCTCATTAGCTTTACTCGGCTTACATTGTGATTTCCTGGAAGCGTCGTGTAATCCGGCGTGGTCGGACGATGCCTGTTCGTAGGCAACGGATGCTGGATGGTTGCGTAAGTGTTATCTTGGGACGTATCACCCATGCCGACGCTTACGCCACTGCCACGTCTCTCGCCGCCGAGACCGCCCTCGGGCTCGCTGAACACTTGCATCGTTAACTCCTGCTCCTCGTAGAGCTTCAATTTTCTACAATCGAGTAAAATGACACCGTCACTCGGGCTCGCTCGTCGCGCGTTTAAAATCGCTGCGTGCGCGAGAAAACGAGGAACTTACTGTTCGATCCACAAAGGATTCTCCGTCGTGTTCAGTTCGTCGATGATCTGCTTCTTAATTAGGCCGTCCTTCTTACGTATATCATTTGGCACAGTTATTACCCTGAAACAACGTCGACGTGTAAGCGTTGAAGTGCATGACTGAGAATATATGTCTAGAATTTTTTTGTATTCTCACCAATGGCGTAAACAGCAACAAACTACTGTAACAGTTACCGCACCTACGAGTAAAACAACTAAGAGAGCTATTAAAGCAGCGAGTGCAGGATCGAATGGTGCCTCTTGAACTCCAGCGTATGCGGGCTGAAATGATTATCGGTTCTTATTACCACGAAGAAACTTACTTTACGCAGTTTACAATTATAAAGTGATCGTGTATTTCTACAGTTTTAAATCGCAACATCATAATACTCACCACGACATTCTCTATGGCAAACCCGGCGTAGTAGTGCTTTAAGAAATCGTATTTCGCATCAATAACTTTGAGCACGTGAGGTATCGGCGCGATGGTTTGAGTCTTCGGTTCGACGACGTGCAAATACATGTCGCACCTAAAAAAAAAAAAAGGAAACAATTTCATGCAGACGATATATGCGATACATGTACGCGGATTATGACAGAAATATTTGAGAGAGAAGAAAATAGATCCGCGCGTGCAATTACCATTCTCTACGGATATGTCCGGAAGCGTCAACGTGATATCTAATATCGTCCACTACGACTCTGCTTTGAGTGGCGTTAGATAACTCCGAAACAATCTCGTCGCGCTCGCTGTTCACCTCTTCCGGAGGCCGGGACAGTATGACTCGTATTAACTGAGATGGCTCAAACACCCACACCTTGAGAAAAAAATAAAAATTGATTAAAATTGCGAAGGAAAGACAGACATTCAATCCAGCGATTGTGTCACGCACAAGAAATCTTACAAATCAATATACCAATAGAAATGTCACATCATATCAAAATCAGTAATATTTTAATGATACTAATATTGAATTATAATGGTAACCGCGGATAGCTTACATGAACTCTGGTCATCGCGTATCTTTCCGGAATGGCCGTCTCCTTGGCGATGACTTCGACGATAAATCTATCCTGATTGTATTCCGCCATGTACCCGCTCGTAACGAGTTTGCCATCCTGCGTGACGTTGAACGGGCTGGGCACTATCGAGCCGCTCGGTTTTTCCGAGCCGTATTTGTAAAGATTCGCGCTGGCGACGTAGTAGTGGAGCGTGCCGTTGTCACCGACGTCCAAGTCGGACGCGGTTACCTTGGTCACGAAGTCGTTTATGTTCGCCATGGAATTCACGCCGGCGTAATAGTCGCTACGCTCGAAGATCGGCGGATTGTCGTTCTCGTCCAGCACAGTTATCGTCACGTTCACGTGCCCGTGTTCCGGATTGTGAGTCAATGGCCGGCCGGATTGAGCGGGACTGATGTAAAGATCGGGATCGTTGGACGCGAGAATAGAGAGAACGTATTTGTCTCTCGTCTCGCGATCAAACGATTTATTCGCGTAGATACTGCCATCGGATTTGTCCATGTAAAACGCGTATCCTTCGTTTCCTAAAAGAACGGGCAATACATTCGTAAGTTATTCGAGCCTTCGATTTCTGTGAAAATATCTTTATTGAAAATTGAAAAAAGGTAACTAATCTTTCTGTCAAATTTTTATTGAAAAGATTCCTTGCCAAGAAATTTTAGAGAGGTAAAATTAGGTAAGAAAATTAGAAGAAAAGTGTAATGTCAAAAGAAGATATTCTGTATATAATTTATAAATTTACCTGCTTCTATGTAATAGTAAACCTTGGCGTGTCTGCCCTCGTCTTTATCCTCCGCTGTAACCTTGCCAATGAAGTAATCCTTCGGTCGATTCTCGGACACATGAAAATTATACTCCTCGTAGAATTGCGGCACGTTATCGTTCGTATCGACTAACTGAACTGTTAATAGGCGCAGTGTCTCGTATGCCGTAGGACTGCCATGATCGGCCGCCACAAGAACAAGCTGAAAGAAAATGTGTACATAGAATTCCATCTCATAGAATTTAATCTCATTAGAAAATGGTTTAATATTTGTACGTTATTCACTTCAAATTTGCTCTTGATCTCGCGGTCGAGGATGATCTTCGAACGCAGTTCGCCGGTCTCTTGGTCTATAGAAAATTCCTCGGTTTCCTGAACGTTTCTATTGCCGACTTTCAAGTGATAACTAACGCGGCCATTCTCGCCGGGATCTCTGTCGATCGCTTTCACAGTTAATATTAGATAGTTCGGCACACCTGCATTCTGAAAATTGATTGTCTATTAATATATTTATGTATTAATCCATGATTAATTATATGGATATTACATACATATCATGGATGTATAGAATAAATTTATATTGTATATTTTAGTTTTGACTCGACGGAAATCTATAAGCTCCCTTTTTATTCTCGACACAAACAGGAAACGTTCGGTTTTTTTTTGTTATACATACCTCTGGCACTTCCACGGTCGCGTTTGTCAATTCGGGCATCACGAACTGCGGTTTATGCTGATTCACAGGTGTGACTCTTATGTCGACGTAACATCTGTCCGAGTGTGGACCATTTCCGGCCCCGTCGCGTGCTTCGACTTCGATCCTGTAAGAACCGGCTCTGCCGAGGAGGGCGGCCGCGGGGTACAGGATGCCGGTTTCGCGGTTTAACGAAAACGATTCATTCTCGTTCCCGTTGATAATTGTGTAC